ATTGGAGCTCTTGCGACTTATACCAGGGATGGGGGGGTGGGGGGGATTGGATCCCCAGACCTCCTTCAAAAAAGACGCACACACCCCACCACTGGTGTAGGAGGCCCTCGCCTCTCAAACACACACCCTTAGTGTAGCAGGAGCATTATCTAACTAACACGCTTGCTTATTTGCTTTTTTTAATTTTCCTAGAATAAGCTAACAAGCTCGCATGGACATGTTTGATATTTTAACACATTAAACAAATAAAAAACTGAAAATTTGTGATATTTGTAACCATCAAGATGCTTATGTAGAAGTTTTGTGACTGGTGCTATCAAAATCCAATATAAGACAACAATATGTTCTACTTTGCTTAAGTAGAATGTTAGGCAACTAAGAAGCAATATAATTGTTAAATTAGTGTAATCAAAATAAGAATGTTGAAATTGATGAATTAAAAGATTTTATTGAAGAAAAAAAAACATATTTAGAGAATCTATGAAAAATTCAAACATGTGAGAAAATAAAAAAGAATCGATTGAGATGAATCAAACATGGAGGCAGGCGCATTTAATACAATTTTTTTCATTGACACGATATGGGGCTAACACGTGGGGATGTTTCATTATTTTAAGAGTTTAAAAGTAAAAATCAGAATTTGTTTAACATTTGTAGTGCCCAAGTTGCGTCTTTGGAAGATTTGTGACTTAGACTATCTAAATCCTTAAACATATTCTGCACAATGAAGTTGGTACGTGTACTCTCACAGAACAATAAGAAATTAACTAAAGGAAAAAAAAAATCAATTATATAAAATAGAGTGAAATGCCAAACATAAATGCTTTTGTTCATAAATGAGCACATGAGGAGTGTTAACCTACTCTCAAACCTTTTTTACTTTCCATCTCCACTCTAAAAATACCACCAGAAATTAACTAAATGAAAAAAAATTGGATTATATAAAATAGTGAAATGCCAGACATAAATGCTTTTATTCATAAATGAGCACAAGCGGAATGTTAATCCTACTCTTAAGCTTTTTCTACTCTTAGCCTCCACTCAAAAAATACCATTTGAAGCACACACATAAGAGAGACATAAGAGAGAGTGCGCTTTAACCAAAAAGAATGGACATGTAGTTGGTGAAGACTAAGAGTAGGGTTAGCATTTCTCATAAGCACAATAACTTTAAAAAAGGGATAAATGAGCACAATAATACTAGGGATGGCAACGGCCGGGTTAATAAGGTAACCCGCCTCGATCCTATTGGGATGAGTTTGGGGAGTTCTTAATCAGGGTAGGGACGGGATTGAGATTGAAGGGTTAAACCCAACTCGGGTTTGGGTTGGGACCCGCCTTATTTATAAGAAATTATTAGTTTATCCTTAAATTAATCTTAAAATTACTTTAATATATCACTTATAATATGAAAATATCGATCTGACCCGCACCGACTTGACTAGTGCTTAACAGGTCGGAGCCGTGGAGCGGGGGGAAGAGGTTAAGAAGGATTTTGATAATTAGAACCGGTCTGCCCGACCCGACCCGACTTGGGAAGGAAACTGGGTAGGAGTCTTGCGCGGTAGGATTGGGAGCGTTCCGACCCATTGCCATCCGTAAATAACACTCAACAAGAGTTTTACTAAAAAAAAAATAATGTGCAAAAAGATTGGATTCGTCCTTAATTTTAGAAGTCAGGCATTGTGCTAGGTTGAATCTAATCGTGCGGACCTAATCATTCAGCCAAACACTCATCGGTTGCGCCAAGATAGGTAAAAATTGAATCCCGCCGATTCCCTATCCTAGACCCCAAGGTGTCCTTTGGATAGGATTTTATTAGCCAAAAATCAATTTTGATAAAATTGATTTTGTAAAATTAATTGTCAAATAATCACGTTTTCAAATAATAGTGTTTGGGGAATACGAAGTTGAGACTCATTTTCATTTTCCCCTAACACAATTATTTCAAAATTTGATTATTTGACAATTAATTTTACAAAATCAATTTTATCAGAATTGATTTTTGGCTAGTAAAATCTAATCTAAACGCCCCTTCAAGTGTTTTGGAAAAACCTATTATTGTCAGAACCGGACCAGACCGGCCAGTTGAACAGGAAAAATCGGAACCCGTCCCCTCACTGGTTCCCAAACCCTCCAAAACCAGACATATTAAAAAAATTGGCCATTTTTGCAAAACCGGAAGAGTCAACTAGTTGAACCGAACCGGTGGTCAGAATCGGTTGAGGGGTTAGAAATGAGCAATTTTTTTTAATAAAAAAGGACACAGTCGAACCGGTCAACCGAAATCGGCCACTCAACCGGTTCGATGACCGGTCCGATTCTGATAACATTGGAAAAACCCTAAAACCCTACAACTCAGAAGTATCTGACCTCGTCTTCTGCTATAAAAGAAAGAACAGAGAGTGGTATCTCCGACCATTAATCTGATATATATATTTATAGAGAGAGAGAGATATGGCTAAGCGTCTGATACCAAGCTTGAATCGGGTCCTTGTGGAAAAAATCGTTCCTCCCTCCAAAACCACCGCTGGTATTCTCCTCCCAGAGAAAACCGCCAAGGTATGGTACAATACCACTCTCTCTCTCTCTCTCTCTGGTTTTTATGGATTGATTTATGTTTGTGGTGAATGAAAACAGCTCAACTCAGGGAAAGTGGTAGCAGTGGGACCAGGAGGGCGAGACAGAGAAGGGAAGCTCATACCAGTCTCTGTGAAGGAAGGGGAAACTGTGCTTTTACCCGACTATGGAGGCACCCAGGTTAAGCTTGGCGAGAAAGAGTATGCTTTCTTCTTCTATTCACTCTGTATCACTGTCTTTATCTATTTCGTCAGTTAATCTATGTTTTTTTTTTCTTTCTGGGTGTCACTCTACAGATTCCATTTGTACAGAGACGAGGACATCTTGGGCACCCTTCATGATTAATTATTTTCCAATCTGATTTGGAGATGGATGAGGAAATGGGTATGTAAGTTTTGTGGGGTTGGTTTGTTTTTAAGATAAAAACTGGTGTGGTTTTGGAAATGATGTTAGACTAAGATCTAGATTTTCAATCTGAGATTTTTCTTTTCTGTTATAGATTTTTGGTGATCCTATTACCATTACCATTGAATATTTTGCACTACAGATTCTCTATAAGCTTCTCAACCCCTTTTCACCTCATGATTTTTTATTTTGGACTCACTGGCTTACTTGCTGGTGTGGATTGTTAGATGGTGCAAGTTCAAAAACCATACCCCTTTAGGTACTATTGGGCTGTTGTTTGCAAGAATGTTTGATAGAACTTTTTTCAGCAGGTTTGTGAAACAATGCATGTGCATAGGGTAACTAAGAGGGCAACAATTGGTCTAATTTGGTTAATCACCCCTTGCTTAATCTTACTATCCATGCTATACTTCCTTAGATGCAAAGCTCAGGGTTGAGTTTGTCTGACTAGAAGGGGTTGCAAAATTCACAATCTCACATTAGTAATTAAATCTCATATGAGCACAAACCCTCCATAGTTTCTTCTGCACTCCACTCATAGGATTTAAAAGGGGTTGCAAAATTCTAATGGGTCAGATGAAAGCTTACTCTACAAACATAAGCAATATTTTACACAATACACCACTCTAGATGGAAAAGCTGGCAATGCCCCAAAAGCATTAGGAAACTTAAGAGCATCTTTGATTCTGTATTCTTCCCAACGTTGAGAAAACTAGAATTATCATCACTTTGTTAAGTAGGCATATAAAATACATATGTTCACATCTATGATGCTCCTAGGACTAGAATGATCATCACTTTGCTAAGTGGATATATGAGATGCATTTACGTAAATCTATGATCTTTAATGTCTCTCAAATAATGCAAAGTATTATGAACTACAGGGATTTTTACCATCTGACATTCTGGACCTGTTCATGGGGGTAGACGTAGTCCATCCTTTTGTATTGGTAGTTTGATAGATGTTGAGCTTATGCTATTGTTGTGTGTGTTTGTGTGTGTGACACAAGGTTGAGCATGTCTAGGGTCTCCTAGGTGCTGAGCATATTTTTTCTAGCTGATCTCCTTTGTTCAATAGCATATATGGATGCTTCTTACTAAATGTTACATTAGGCAACTGCAATGCAATCACTTTGAATGGTTTCCCTTGTTATGGTCCTTATGGTGGATAACACCTAGGGGTGTGTTTGTTTCTCAAGAAACGGGATAGAAGAAAAGAAACGAAAATAAAATAAGTTAAGTGTGTTTGGTTTGTAAGAAATCTGGAGGGAAAGTAAAAAAAAAAAAAAAAAAAACTCTTCTTTTTTAAAATGCCCATTAGTCATATGCGTATTTACATGTTAAGTACTTAATGATTTGACATTTGTGAAGGGTAATTGTGAATTCTAACATTCGTGCCTTAGTGTTCTCTCAAAATAACCTTTTGTAGGAGGAATTTTTTGATAGAAAGTGAAGGAAAATTGACACTATTTAGCATCCACTTTCTTGAGAAAGTGGGTTATTCTTGGGAAACGAACACCAAAAAAGTAAAAGAAAATGAGATTTTCTATCACTTGCGTTTTCCATTGAAAAAACACACCCTAGATTGATATCTATAATATATCAAACAAGGAGCAGTACAAATCAGAATCTTTATACTCAGCGGCAAAGTTGACACTAGTATTTTGAGTTGGAAAGTGTATGACTCTTGTGATTTATATAAGATATAGATAAGTGAAGGTCTTTCGGCATAGACACAACAATGAGAGCGAAATGTTTGGGGTCATTGCGACATTTGCCACCCTATAGCATTACTTTCAGCTTGCCTGTTTCACATAAGAAACCTGAGCCTACTTTAGTGCCGCTCTTTTAAGGGTGTTTTTCTCTTAAACGTAGAACCGGAGTTTCAGGAGGAGGACCTCCTGAACCTCCCCTGGGAAGAGCTCCCAAAGCCTGAGCAACCCGCTCCGCTCCCTTGCTCCCTGCGATGGCTTCTGTATTTCACTCGCTCAAATGGAAGCTCCAAAACTCCTGGCGGAAATAGCTTAATGGTAGAGCATAGCCTTGCAAAGGCTGAGGTTGAGGGTTCAAGTTCGAAGGACTTTCATGAAGTAGGATTGGGTGGATTAGGCAGATAGCCCTAATCATCGAATGATTCTTTCTTGACCAGGTATGTCGGTACAGGATCCCTCTCTTCCGCTATTGGTGGACTGTTGCACAGAAAGGCCGACAGAAGCAATGTTTCTTAGCGCACTTTTCAAGCGCTTAGCTTCCGTTTGCTGGCTAGCTCGCTACGGCTTTTTTGAAGCCAGCTGAAAAACGGATGCGCGCTACTAGCGCAGCTCGCTTCGCTTTTGTTGCGGAGCGAGCTCCTTTTCGCCGTAGCTTAGCTTGCTGGTCCATGGAAGAGGGCATTTCCATCGTGAAGGATTCAATCCAGTACCTATCTGGTACAAGGGCATGATGCCTTTTTGGCTGCTGCAACAAAATTACTCAGTAGTGCCATAAACTTTGATGCAATGGTTTTAAAGGTGTACTGTTTGAATATTAGTGTAGTTTTGAACTGATATATGAACCTGAATACACTGGAAATGCTGTTTTGGAATGGGCCAACCCCAAAAACAGGGCTTCTTGCTGTATTTGGCAACCGACTTGATTGCAACCTGGCATGTAGCATGTTTTGCAGACCTCTGCTGTGCTGCATCATTGGATCAGGATATTGCAAAGGTTCAACCCCAAATAGTTGGGGCAACTTGTTGAATGATGGTAATGTAAATGACAGAGGATTATGTGAAGTCAACTGATACTGAATTTTGCCGTTAAGGTAAGAAATTTCATTGGCAATGGTGGAAAAAATTATGCAGGCAGTTTTGGCACAAGATTTGCATTTTTTAAGTATCAATCCTTGGACAAGAAAGCAATACCTCAGCATATGTGAAAGAACATCAAGATTTGGGAGTTTCAGCATTTGCTACAAGGTATCACTCTGTTAGAAGGCTACATTAGGGAGCTGGGATATTTTAAACTGATTATGACTTTCTACCATATGGGTCCTCAGATTTGGATGGTAGACGTGTAAGAATCAACATCATCATATGGATCTTCTCGTTTCCATTGGAAAAGAAGTCCTCTTCATCACTTGTATGATAGGATTTTTTTTCCTTTTATCATTTACCTACTATTAGTAGTAATCATGGGTTAGTGGTGAGTAACGGGAAGTGTAACTCTTGCACGACATTACCGGCTTTTCGGACTCTTGTAAGACATCACCCTTTGGATCAGGCTCTTCGGACTCTTGTAAGACATCACCCTTTGGATCAAACTCATTGACACATTTTCATTGGTCTTTGGGGTTTTTTTTTTTATTAAAGAGAAATGAGCTCGGCTTAGGACTGGATTGCTTTACAACTGAAGACCATGGCAATTTGAGGCTATCATGAGCTATCTGTGTTTGGATGTTGGCATCCACGTTTTCTTCTATTATTACATGGATCTCCCAGTGGGATTGGCATGTGACACCGGTCGAAAACTTTATGATCTCTTTTGAGTCTGACTCGAGAATTACTTGGTTCCACTGGTTGGATATGGTGGTCTGCAAAATGGCCTCAGCTTTGGCTTTGTGGGCAACCCCCTAACTAGAGTTTTGGAGATGGAGCAATGATACTTCCCCACATGAATCTGAGCAACTATGCCTACCCTACCGTCTTACAAGCCCGACTCTCACTTACAGGGGTTGATCTTAGCTCGAGGGAGCCCTAATTGGCTAGGCCGAAGCCCTATCTTGAAGGGCTGGGCCAGGGCTTAAGAGCAGTAATTTTTTTTTCATTCATTGCCACCGAATATCAACCCAAAATCAACCACCACTTACTTTATCATGTCTTGGGACAGGAGATCAACGTAAGGAGTACCGCGATGGAGTTATTATTTCTATTTTTTTACTTAGTGACGGAGTAGATTATTTTTCTTAAGTTAAAAATAGTATAATGCATTTACTATTCTTTTATAATGAAATTAGATATATAATATATTCTATATTTGGTATGTGCTATAGCTATTTGTTTTTTCTTTCCATATATTTAATTTTAACACAATACTAACATAAGGCCTTTTGAAACAGTACTAAAAAGGCATAATACTAGCTTATATCTAATTTTGATATAGTATTGACATAAGGGGTATGTTTCTAAATTTAATACAATACTAATATAAAAGATATTTTGACACATTACTAACATAAGACATAATATTAAAGTGTTAATATGTAAGCATATATAATTAATTCAGGTATAGTATAGATCTTATAAATAATATACATTGTTATATATGCAGGGACGAAGCTAGAGTATTCTTGTAGGGGGCAAGCGATGAATGATTGAAAATATTAGTAATTGTTGGTAGATTTTTGGAAAATGATTAGGTGGGTATGAAATATTTTGGGATTAGGAGGTTGGGGGTTAAAAAATTGATGACCAAGTTTGTGGGCCATCTCGTCCATATGTTTTATACATATCCTATGGTTCCTTGCTTGCGACGGTACTTGTCCCCTTGCCCATGTGTTGGGTAATTAAATAACATAGTATAAAAGATTTTATTTTTAAAAGTTCATGAGGAGCAACTACCCCATGCTGCATGACTATGCTCTATTAAACTATATTTTTTTTGAGTCCTGAGAAGAGGACCCAAGGGTCCTCTTCTAAGCTGACCGCAGTGTGCTCATGCCCCTTTTAACACCTCTTTAACCATGGTTAAGTTTAACTAAATTAAAATTAATAATTTTTTTTTTGTTTTTCTAACCATTGTTAGATTGCTTAACCCTAGGGGGTGAGTGGATCCTAACTACAGTTGATGGGTGGTAAAAATGGGGTGTGGACCAATGAGATCACAGGGTTAGCCAGCTTCGAAGCTAACCCTGGTCCGTTTTCCATTTCCCCTTTTTTTTTTTCTTCAAAAGTTAAAGGGGCAACTGTCCCCATGCCCCATAGTTATGCCCTATTAAATTATAATTTTTTCTCTCAAAAGTTCATGGAGGTAATTGCCCTTGGCTTCGCACTTGTATAAATGTATATTACAATGTAATAGAGCAGGTGGAGGGCCGTATTGGGTTGTCAAAAGGTTGGCTAGGGCAGTGCCTAGGTCTTATCGGGCCCAACCCTCATTCACTGAGGTGAGACCCTGGCCTAGCCCTAGCCCTCAAAGGCCTGAACTGGCTAGGCCCAAACCCTGCCCTCAAGGGTCAGGGCCGGGCTAGGGTCGAGCCATGGTTGAAAGAACAAAAAAATATATTATGTTTTGACGATTTTTTTCTACATTGATTACTAATCCGATGTACAATTCTCCTCCTTTATTCGGGCTTGGGACCAACAATGCAATTCAAAGATCAATACTTTAGTACAGTTAGATTATTAGTATTAGTTCACCCCCAATTGTTAGTATTGATATTGTTATATTTGTTAAAAAAGCTACAACTAAGTAATAATATTAAAAGATGATAGAAAGAGACAATACTATTAATTTGTTACATATACAAATTAAGTTTTAGTATTAGATTTTTTTAATACAAAAAAAAGGGTAAAACATTACAAGTTACCATATGAGAAAGATTGTAGAAATATACTACATTATAATATTAGTATGTTACACATGCACAAAATAAGGCTTAGTCTCTTATGTTATTATAAGTATCAAATTATTATATTATGTATGTAGTATATTATTTTTTTATATTATATATGATATGACATGAAGAATGGAGGGCTGGGCTGGGCTGAGCTGAGCTGGGTACTTACCAAGCTTGACCCTCAAATAAGAGAGCCTTTTAAATTAGGCCTGGCTTGGTCCTAAGGCCTTACAAAGCTCTCTATTTTGCGGGTTTTGAAGGGCCAGGTTGGGCTGGGCCCCCTAATCAAAGGCAGGATTGACTTCCCTACGTGTTCGGGAGGGCAAGGCCCTAGCCCGGCCCTCAAATGAGAGGGATTTTGAAAATTCAGCACTACCTGGCCTGCATGCTTTAGGAAAAAAAACAAACCCTCGGGCTGGGCTGGGCTGGGCAACCCTATGTGGGCAGGTGGTTTACTCGGTCTTTAGTCTTAGCCCAATGTCTCACCTGCGGCCTAATGTTAGTCCAAAGTGGTGGAAACCAACTATGAACTAACTACTAAGTTACACCTTGGCATTTGCCCCAGTGGTTTCGTATCTTCCTTTGGGGAGGTGTGACTCGTGTTCGAGTCTTGGTGTGGCCGTTGAGCGCTCACCTTGAGTTCTAACTCCCTAACTCCTAACATGGATAGATAAATGATCTAGCTGCCTACCCAAAAAAAAAAAAAAACCCTAAACTACTAAGTTTGGCCTGTACCAAAAGCAAACTCGGAGGATTTAGAATTGAGTGATAACCACCCATACCTACAAGAATTAGTCTAGGGATACTCCCAAGGTGTACTCCTAAATATACTCTCAAATCTTAACCGTTTATCTTAGTTGTTAAACGGTTAGGATTAGAACTGATGTGGCGTTAGAAAAGATAAAATAAGTCAACTCAAATCCTGACCTTTAGTGATTGATTATAAACTGTTAGGATTAGGGAGTAGATTTGGGAGTACCCATAGATTGACTCTACCTACAAACCTTTTCTTTTGGGTAAATCCAAACCAAGCTTGTTTGGTATCTTTGTAGTGTTTACGATTTGGGAAGACGTAGAACTTGGAGAAGTATGGGTAAAGTGACACCAACCAATCACTTCCACATCTTTTCCACATCTTTCGTCCATACAAAGTGTCCTTTACGTCTCTCTCTTAAAAAAAAAAAAAAAAAAAAAAAAAGGTACAATCACTTCCACATCTTTCGTCCATACAAAGTGTCCTTTACGTCTCTCTCCAAAAAAAAAAAAAAAAAAAAGGTCATTTATGTCTTGAAATTTGTCCAAGGGCCTGCCTTAAGCGAACATAACCCTCAAGGCTTCGATCAAAACCAGACCCATATAAGGAAAACCAAAACAAATCCAGTAAGGTACCCTTAAACCTAAAATGTCCACTGCCCACAACCCATTTAAAACAAATCAATTAATTATTTAAATTAAAATTAGGATAAAACATTAAATTTATTTAATTAGGT